GTGAATCGTTCGTCTTAATTTGTTCGTTCACAGAAGTGACATCACTATCAGTAGATGATGAATTCATCCCATGAATCTTCAAAAGATTCAATTAATGACTTTTTCGGCAAACATGCAAAATTCCTGAGCTATTATCAATGTTAAACCAATGTTGTGAGTTCAGAATATGGTTGGCAAGGAAACTGCTGGTGTTGTATCTGTCTAGGATCGGATTCCTAGACTCTTTTATTATTTTGATATGTACGCTGGCTCTGGTTTGAACAGTGGCATATCTGGCTACTTACTCTAAGGGACAGGGCCGGACTGAAGGTACCAAACGGGTCGGGCATATTCCCCAAAGCAGGTCAAATCACCTGTCAAGAAGTGTGCGTTGCAGGCGTTTTTTTCTCTCTTCAATTTCAAAGTCGACAATGCTCAATATATGCAATGTTAGAATATTCACCACCAAAAATATAGAGACCTCTTCGAGTAGTTGTTTTGTTGGAGATTCCACATTTTCGAAAATGGAACAGATTTTAATAAAAGAAAGATGAAACAGAATAAATACACTGCTTTGATACCAAGAACAATGAACTGGATATAATGAGATATAATGAACATGAGACAGGCGCCTATAAATCAGCTTTGTTCGATAGGAGAAGAGGAGTTAATTTGTGCCACGGGGGTGACAGAAATCAAAAAAGCACCGCAGGTCGAATGCCATCAAATTGATGGTTAGGTTTGTCTGAGGAATATCATGAAGGTGGAAGAAATTGATTTCAAATTCACCTGAGAATTTGAATTTCCCAAAAGGAACAAAAATCGGATTTCAATGCCGAAAATGCTTGATTGTTATCCAGTTAGAATATTGAATTAATGAGTGAATCACATTATTTTTTATGGTTTTCAAATTTTTCCACTCCAAGACTCTCAAAATCGTGACATTTCCAAAGATTAGATACTCATTCTCTCACAGAGCAAGTTTGGGAAAGAATGACATAAAAACCATATGAGATTTGTTCACAGTTTTGGTTATCATGGATTCGAATGTTAAATTTTCCTTCTGTTGCTGGAAAAGTTCTGGTGAAATTCTCCTGCTTACGGGATGTTATGTACATGAATCCAATTGTCACAATGGGAAAAGACATTACACGCTGCAGTTTTGTCATTTTTTGGCGTGTATTGGCTTCGGCTGACGCCTACATCACGCCCTTGATACATAAATATTTCAGAAGATATTAATATCCAAGTCTCCACGTGATCTTGAGACAAACAGTTTTATACTCTATTTGATATAAATTTCAATTCAGGAATGTACTTCTCACATATTTACATGCAACTTGTGAAATAGACACGTCAATGAATATCTTCATACCTCTTCTAGATCTGGGTAGAATGAATATGCGTTTGTATGAAATTTGAGAATGCTACCAAATATCGGGTGTGGAATGAAGCTCCAACAGGCAGGCCTAGGCCAGCAGACAAAAAATAAGCCAGGCCAGCAAGCCAAAAATGAGCCAGGCCATCGGGCGATCGGCCGATTGCCCGACATGCCAGTCTGGCTCTGCTGGGGGGGTAATCCAATTTAGGATAAGGTAGGTAATATAATAATAATAATAAATCGTCTTTATTTATGTGATTCCATGATACAAAAAAATATATAAAGATTTGTACAAACATTTGTACAAAGAAGAAAAACATTGTTCACTGTTTACTGTCCAGCAGGAGGCGAGATTTAGCCTAAGGCTACTCTTACATCTAACCTCTCACTGTCCAATTGGGAAGGTGAGTCTACATTACTTAGAGAGAAAAAAAAAGAGGATGTGTACATAATATTCATATTGAAGATCGTAACAATACTCATTGTGAAGAAAGTAGCTCATGTTTAATGAACTTTCGGAAGGAGAATGGACCAAGGCTTTTAATGCGGTCTGGAATTGAATTGAACAACTTGATTGCATTATATGTGAAACTTCTTTGATAAATGGCGGTCGAATGATGAGGCATCGTTAATGCATTGGGATGTCTTATATTAACCGAATGTATGCTGGATCTCGGAATTAACTGGTAGCGACTATCATCTGATTGATTCCTAAGAAGTTTATAGATGAATAAAGCTAAGTGAAGTCTCCAACGATTTTCCATAGTGAGCCAGTTAAGTTCATTTAGTTTTTGAGATATGTGATCATATTTACGTAACCCATATATAAACCGCACACAATAATTCTGTACCTTTTGAATTTTATACCTATAACTTCCATCAAGGCATGGACCATACAAAAAATCACAATAAGCGAATTGGGACAAGACCAAGCTGTCACATAAAGTTTTGCGCAGTTTTAAATTCAACACGTACCTATTGCTGTATAGAGTTTTTAGGGAGATAAATGTTTTGGTCAGAATGTGCTTAACGTGATTTTTAAATCTGAGGTTATCATCGAATACCAAACCTAAATTTTTCGACGAGTGGACAATACTTAACGGCTTATTATCAATACTTATGTTAAAATTCGAGCAGATCTCATCATAATAATTTTTGGGAGAAAAGACAATAACTTTTGATTAAGAAGAGTTCAATTTCAGATTATGAGCCCGACTTTTCTCAAATATTATGTTAAGGTCATAATTTAACCAATTTTGGGCCTCCAAAATATTATCTTTAGGAAAGTTCATGAAGATTTGGGTGTCATCGGCATACGCCTGAATTTTACAATGTTCTATAGATTTCAGTATATCCGCCGTATAAATAATGAAGAAAAGGGGACCCAAAATGCTGCCTTGTGGCACTCCTGCTGTCATGTTTACATAATTTGAGTGACTGTCATTCGATACTATTTTTTGTTTTCTCTCTGAAAAGTAAGATTGTATTAATTCCAAAGAGTCAATCGAGAATCCATAGTATTTAAGCTTAGCAATCATTAGTTTATGGTTTATAGTATCGAATGCCTTTGAAAAGTCTAAAAGTGTTAATATGCTAGCACATCTTTTGTCCAAATTGGAGAATATATCATCAAGAACTTGCGTTAGTGATGTTGTTGTATTCAGGCGTTTTTGAAATCCAGACTGGCATGTCGGTATTATTTTATTATTTTCAACATGTTCAAGTATTTGTTTGTATAGAACTTTTTCAAAAATTTTCGAGAGGCAAGGTAAGATACTGATAACACAAAGGTCTGAAAATTCTACTGGAATGGCGACTTTGGGTAATGGGCGACCTAAAGAGATTTTCCATAGTGCTGGAAACTGACTTTTTTCGATGCCATAATTGATGAGATGTGTGATGAATGGATCGATGAATGGGCTACAGTATCTAAGCATTGTAACACAGATGTCATCAATTCCATATGCTTTCGTTTTGATGTCAAACAGAAAATCGTGCACTTCATAAGTTGTTGTGAGTTCGAATTCGAATTTTGTGACGTTATCATTTAGAAAATTTGAATTGTAGAAATCAGTGGAGTCTTCACATATGTCGTCGCTAGGTTCAGTCCAAATTTTCGAGAAGAAATCATTAATGTTGTTAGGGTTTGCTAGATTATCAGGAATAGTATTCAATTTACCACTTACAACTTTCATATTTCTTAGAGTTTTCCAAATATTTGAAGGGGCATTATTTTCACAAGAGTTATCTGAATATGCACGTTTCTCGCCTCTGAGTGATGTAAGAGTAAAATTTCGGAGCTGCTTGTACGCTAACCAATCATCAGCTGTTTTTGTTCTTTTATATTTGTTCAGTGCCCGATCGCGTTCAGACATCAACATTTTCAAATTTTGTGTGAGCCATGGTGATTTAGGTTTAGTGACCCTTACCCTCTTCTTAGGTGCATGTAAGTCGAAGATTTGGAATAAAAATCCATTGAATATTTCAATTTTACGATCGAGGTCATGTTCGTACAGCATCCCATTCCATGGTAGATTTTCAAGATCAGTTTTAAGTGCGTTTAGATTGAACCTGGAATAATCCCTAAAGATGACAAATTTTTGTTTAGCTGTATGGATTGGTATTCGCAGCTCACAAAAAACAAGACTGTGGTCAGATATCAAATCCGCATTGACCGTCTTCGCTTCAATGACCAAGTTTGAATGACTAATAAAAATATTATCAAGCAGTCTATTAATCCTAGTAGGTTCATTTATAAGTTGTGTGAAATTGAATGAATTGAAGCAATCTGAAATTAAATTACTTGGTTGAAGCATATCGTGATTGAAATCACCTACACATATCAAATTGTCTACAGTAGGAATGAAATTCGTTAGAATATTGTCCATGTCATTAACAAAGTCGAGTACAGAATTATTCTGGGGGGGAGCGATATATGACACCAATTATGAAAGACTTCTGATTAATTTTGAATTTTATCCATGAATGTTCAAATAGTTTATTAGCTAACTCACCATCAAATTCCAGAACTTGGTATTTTATGAAGCTTCTCAAATAGATTCCAATTCCTCTTCCGAACCTGTTCCTATCTTTCCTGATGAAAGAATAATCTGGTAACATAACAGGATCAGATACCACATCATTCGACATCCAAGTTTCAGTGACACATATCAAGTCCAAATCCATCCCACCCACAAGATCCGAAAATTCATTGAACCTTGGGAATATAGAGCGCACATTTAAGTGAGCTACTTTCATATTTCTGAGTTTCTTCAATATATAGTTCTTATACCCCCGTGAAGATAATATCACAATAAAAACGAAGAAACAAAATGTGCCATTATAATATAAAAAAAAAACAAAAAAAAATGGGATGAAAAATCAGTAGTTATAGGTATCAAGATCAAAGATTTTATCATAGTAGAAAGTAATGAGATGATGCATTTAATTTCCTATATAAAAGCTGCAATTTGAAAGATTTTGAAAGATTAAAGAAAAAGGTATAAGAAAACAACATGGTAGTAAGAAAACAACATGGTAATAACCTATCATTTCAGTATCACACTGCGTACTATCATATTTCCGAGTTTCCTTGGTCTAGTTTTTATACCCTCGTGAATACAATGCTGCAATAACAATAAAAAAATCAAAAAAACACAAAAGTCATGATCACCAATATTATCATCGGAGCAGAAAGTGACGAAATAATGCATTTTATATCCAATACCCAAAAATAGAATTCATTAGATGAAAAAAAAAAAAAACAAAAAGTCATAGGAGAACAATATGGGAACCTATATATAGCATATCAGTATTACATGGTATTGCATTGTGCATTGGGTCGGTTATCATTCAACACCCTTCACTCATTCGCCATTTCTTTAATCAAATCTTCGAGCACTGAGTGTGTAGGTTTGATCGTGACACCATTGGTGTCCTTCCAGCGAATTTTGCCATCTGCTGTCCAAACAGAGTTTCGTCCGAATTTTTTTCCTGCTGCAACCACCGCTTTCCGTCGAAAACTTGTAAGATCTTCTTTGAAGGAGATGCCAGATCCCTTCAATTTGGTCTTTGCATCAAAAACTCTCTGTTTCACTTCGAATGATTTAAATTTCAAAAGAATGATATCAGGAGTTATATTGTAACAAGTTTCAAAATCATTAACATCAATATGATCCAATTCCATTTTATTAGTGATCACATCAGCAATCATTCTAGATGGATTTTCAGTGCTTTTCACATTCATTCCGAAGACACGAAGTGATTTCCTCTTAGACAGTTGTTCCAGGGCATCTAGACGATGATCAATGTGTGTTTTTGTATTCTTGTTCTGTTTGATACCATTATCTAAGAGGTTGAACTTTTCTTCGAGATTCTTGAATTTCTCATCTATACGATTAGAGATATTGAATGTAACTGCTTCCGATACTTTTGATATAATTTGGTTTATCACTCGTTCATCCATGGTTTTCGTTTGCCTGAGTTCTGGTGCCATTAAAAGATGAATATACTACGTGCGAGAATGCCAACTCGAATTTTTGTCAGCTACGATACACGCTGTGACCAGCGTTCACAGTTGACTGCTGGAGATTGGAGATGCGAAAACGTATACGAAATACGTGGAAATAATAACAGGTGTTTTGCTGATAAGGAAGGTGCGCGCGACCACTTGCGGCAGCCACCAACTCAAATGTTCTCTTTAATATGTGAAATCGAGAACAACATTAGCAAAACAAATCTTCTAAATCAGAGAACATACCACTTCCATGCTTGAAATCCATACCTAAACTTATCCGTACACCAACAGTTTGATGATTAGCACAGTTTTATGAATAATTGACGCACATTTCACAGTTGATTTCACAATATTCGAGGAGGCACAGGAATACACTATTCACAATCCGCCATCTTTCTCAACCAACCAGGTAGGTAGTTACATCAACAAATGGAGATCACAATAATACAGGAACATTATGAAAATAATGACTAGGTATTCAATATTCACATACCCAAATCTGATAATGAGTATTATTAATGAATATGGAAACAAAAATAGTGCTGGTGCCGCACACAATCTTATATCTCATATTATAATGTTAACTTATCACTAATTGAATCAATCAGAACACTGAAACTGAAAGAACAAAATAGGAAACTCTGCCAAGGTCAGTGTTGCCAGCTTCTGAAAATAACCACTAGAAGTCCCTATAGCGAGCGAAGCGAGCTGAAAGCCCGCCGCAGGCGAAATTCCTGAAAATTTAGCGAAATTTTTCCGTGATCTAGCGACATGTTCAATCATATTTCTTTCTGAAGTCTGTTCAGAATAAGAAAAGCACATTATAAAAAACAAAATGAATATAAATTTTCCTATAAAATTACATTCGGTATTATGAGATAGGCACACATACATTGGTAAATAACAAAATATATTCCTTGGTCGTATTAGAAGTGATTCTTCGATCAAATCATACATTAATAAACATGTAAAATCATGTCAACTCATATTTCTAGATCAACATCATGTGACTCCCGTACTGATTCAGGCAAAATGAGATCATCACTAGCATTATATAATTTGTCAAACCATATAGAAATATGGAAAAATGACAAAATATTATTCAAAAATGGCACAAATAATGGATACAAACCCTGTCATTTCCTTCTCTTCTTATCTCTACATCTAGAATGTTCCAATGTGAATTCATATCCGTCATCACCAATTCATGGTGATTAGAATATCTCCATATGAATCGTTATGACTAATGTAGTATGCTACTTGGGGTAGGATCGCAATGATAAACTTGAGACGTACAATAAACACTTATAATCAGCTTCTCAGTAATACCACTTGTCTTTATGCTCTCTAGATGAATAATGATTAATTCTACCTTATACCGTTTACATTACATAAAACTATATTAGTCACTATAAGTATATGAGTCGAGTCAGATGCCTTTCCATAGGCGGGTACTGCACGGCCATCCTGATTCGTTGTTGTCCTCAACAACTTCCTGGACTCCACTGCCTGTGAATAAGAATTCAAATAATTATTCTCAATTTTTTTTTTTTTTAATGATAATTCACTCCATTGAAGGCACAGTTTGTTATGAGACAAAATATACGAAATTCGAATGTTTTATTGATAAACATCAGTGGACTTATATCATCGAATGAATTGAAATCGTTAAAAACTAAATTCACTGTGCTATCAAAGGCTCTATCATTTTAACAATAAGCTCGAGTGCCATCAAGGGCTCGGGTGCCATCAAGGGCTCGAATGCCATCAGAGGGCTCTATTGTGCCATCAAAGGGCTCGACTGTGCCATCAGAGGGCTCTATTGTGCCATCAAAGGGCTCTATTGTGCCATCAGAGGGCTCGACTGTGCCATCAGAGGGCTCGACTGTGCCATTTACCTCAACGTTTTTGGAACAAGAATGGTTTCATGTGTTCCCCTGCTACAACCCCTTCGTATGGGCGATTGGATCTTCCCGTATGCAAATCCTCCTTCACCTTGTATCGGTCATTCGGAAGGACCTCTATAACCTTGAAAGGCCCCCTGAATTTGGGTAGAAGTTTTTTACTCTCCCCAGTTGCTGCATTGCTAATGACTTTGGTCAGTACCAAGTCCCCTATTTCGAAAACCTTTGGTGGACCTCGTTTTCTATTGAAGGTGGTATTTTGTTTAGTTCTGTTCTCCTCCATTCTTTGTGCAGCTTCCTCTCTCATTGTGGTTACGTCCAAGGTACGGTCCATAACGTCATGAATATCGCCATCCATTTTCAGAGGAAATCCAAATAATAATTCGGCAGGCGTGTTCTGTGTGATGCGGTGTTTTGTACTATTGATGCCTTGCTGGATTATGCCTATCTTTGAGTCCCAGTTGTTGCCGTCCGTGTCCGCTCCCGACGTGGCCAAAGCATCTAGTATTGTTTTATTCATTCTTTCGACTTGTCCATTTCCTCTAGGCATGCCAACCGCTGTGGTATGCAATTTGATACCTTTTCGTACTAAGTAATCTTTGAAGTCGTTTGAGACAAGCCCTTTTCCTGCGTCTGCAATAATTCTGTTGGGGTTTCCAAAAATTGTGAACATTTCTGTCAAAACTTCCAGCACCCACTTAGTGCTCGTATCAGGAACTGCTTTCAAATAAGTGAATTTTGAAAACCCGTCCACGATTACGAGTATATATTTATTTCCCCTCGGGGTCATTACAAAGGGACCCAAATGGTCCAAGTGGAGAGTGTGATGTGGTCTCGCATATTTAGGTATTGAATGTAAGAATCCTGATTTTTTTCCATTATTTTCTTTATAATAGAGGCAATGTAAGCAAGCTTTGATGTATTTTTGTACGAATCTCTTCATCTTCGGAAACCAATAATGATTTTTAATTCTGTCAAGAGTTTTTTCTAATGCAAAATGACCTACATCGTCATGGTTGGCTTTCACTATTTGCCATCTACATTTCTTAGGTATCACCCATCTTCGACCATATGGCGTAAGCCGATAAACTTTATTACCCCGTAGATCATAATCTTTGAAAATACTTTTATTATGTTCTATATCACCACTCAGCAAAATGTCCTTGATTTCTTTTATAGAATCGTCCTGATCTTGTGCTTCGCGCAAATAATCGTTTTCACGTAGTTTCAGGATCTTTTTTGTTTCAAGATTCTCATTCGGCTCGAAATTACGGCTAAGTGCGTCTACATGTTGCATTTGTGTACCTGCTTTATGTTGTATAGTGAATGAATAGTCTTGCAAAAATAAAACCCACCTAGCTATACGCGGAACGATTGTTTGTTTGATCAGTGCATTCTTGACAGCATTACAATCGGTGAAAATGGTAAATTCATTTCCGATAAGATAAAATCTGAATTTTTCTAGGGTTTTTACAATTGCGAGTAACTCAAGTTCAAAAGAATGGTAGTTTTTTTCTGCATCGATGGTTTGCTTGCTGAAAAACGCAACTGGTCTTTCTTTCTTGTCATATTTTTGAACTAGTATACCTGCGAATCCGTCCCGACTCGCATCTGTGTAAACTATTATTGGTAATTTAGGATTGAATATACATAATACTGGTTGTGAACAGATTTTACTTTTGAGGTCATTCACAATTTCGGTTTGTGTATCGGACCATTTCCAACTAGAATTTTTCTTCAACAAACTCGTAAGGGGGGCTGTTAATCTAGCGAAATCATTTATAAATTTCCGGAAGAATCCAACTAGGCCTAGAAACTGCCTCAGCTGATGTTGAGTTTTGGGTATTGGGAAGTTGGAAACTGCGTCCGTTTTATATTTCGAAGGAGAGATCTGATTTAAAGAAATTTGATAACCCAGATATGTTATTTCCTGTACCAAGAATACAGATTTCGTCAATTTCAATGTTAGACCATATTCAACGAGTATATTTAGAACTTTTTCTAATAATATTAGTCCTTCAGCCTTTGACTTGGATGGGATAACTATATCATCAAGATAAGGTATCACGTGGAATTCCCTCAAGGGCTGAAAAATTTCGTTCATAAATTGCTGAAAAACTGATGGACAATTACACAGGCCGAATGGGGCCCTCAAAAATTCATAATGCCCTTCTGGCGTTATGAATGCTGTGTAAGGAATTGATTTGGGTTCCATAGGTATTTGATGGTAACCTGAAGCCAAGTCTATACATGTGAAGTAACTATAGTCTCCTAAATTATCAATAATTTCCTCTATTAAGGGCATAGGAAAGCTATTTTTCACTGTTATTTTATTGAGTGCACGATAATCAACTACCATTCTTTTTTCGTCGTTTTTTTTGTTTACTAGTAGGGCTGGACTTGAATAGGGTGACCTACTTTCTCTAATGATTTTGGCTTCTAATAATTCTTTTATTTTGGCTCTGATGATTTGTTTATCTTTTTCGGCACACCGATATGGTCGATGGGTGACAGGCTTATCAGTAGTTACTTCTACAGACAAGGAAACGGAGTGTGCTTTTCCAAGGTGATTCAAATTGGAAAACATGCACTTTTCATGTTCAAGTAAAATTTTGTCCAGTTGAGATTTTTCGAATTCCGTTAAAATTCCGCATTTGATGTTTTCCAGCCACTGAGGAGTTTTCACTTTGTTCTGGAAAGTTAACACGTCATCAACGCGGTAATAGATGATATCTTGATTTTCTGTAAAATTAGTACCAATCAAAATATCATTATCGATATTTTCGTCTTTCGTTACGTAATACACTATGTTCAGCGTAACGTCGTCGATACGTGTTAAATTTTCCGTAAAATGAGTTACAGTTGTTTCTGTTCCTAAAAACCCGGACAACCTAACCCACTGTTTTAGTGGTTCAATCTTTAAATGTAGTTTTTCTGCTACTTGCGATTTTATAATAGAACAATCGCTACCGAAATCAATAAACGCCGTACATTCCTTGCCATTGATATGAATTTTTTTGTAAAATTTTGAAGAAGTCGTATGATTATCTCGAATTAATTTTACGTTTTCCATTT